TACAATGCCGGTGTACCGTCTGGGAATTATAACACCTACTACAGCAGAAGACTTCGGACAAGGTGCGTCCAACTAGGTCGCTCTGACAGCACAACCAAGTTTCAAAACGAGTTCAGACCAATTTTACATTTACTCATGCATAAATGGGGTAGAGTTATGTGGATTGAAAGGAGAGTAAAAGGAATGAGTCGTTGGGACTAAGTCTGAAAGTCAATCAAATCACTTACCTCGTATTATCACTTTTCGACAGTACTCGGGCAAGCCAGGTATCGCTTTAACCTCGGAAAGGGCCTCGAATTCCATACTCTCGGCTTCGTGTCAAAACTGAGGCTCAGCTTCAACTAGATTTACTATGCTGCGCACACGTATCCATAAACTCTGTCTCCAAATGCCTCCACGCCAGTACTTATTTTGAACATCCGATTTCCTGCAACCCTGCAAAAGAATTAGTGTTAACCAAGGTGATAGTGGTTCATGAGAGGATAAAGTGTGGTTCAAGCGCCTAACGAAGAGTAGTTTATCCTTGAGTTAGATGAAGTATAATCATATATATGTATATATATATATATATATATATATGTGTGTGTGTGTGTGTGTGTATTTATATCAATACACAAACACAGGTATATATATGCATATAAATGTATGTATATAGATATGCATAGGCAAAATATTCATTCTTTTATATTACACGATAAAGTCTTAGGTCGCAGGTCAGGGTGAGAGGGAAGGGACGAGAATGTGACTTGTATAACCGACATGTTAGCAAGCCTCAGGAGGATAGCTTGTGGACGGGTGAAAGGAAGAGAGTTGTGCTCCAATACCAAATGAGTAGCGTTGAGTACATGACGGCATATACGATGTTTTTACTCAGGTCTCTCGTTTATTTCGGCCCTCCTTCCACCTGGGCGCCTCCTCAACCCAAGTTCAATTAGACCGCAGTCCGAATGAGAAGGAACTGACTGAACTGACGACCAATCAGATGGTGGACAGACAAAAAGATCCATTCGCTGCTTCTCACCTCTTGGCCGTAGCACTAGACCAGCTTTGCTGTTATGGCGAGTATCAGCAGAAATCAGGGCCCTCGTATTTGTTGCTCGGAAGCACTGTTACTCTGTCATGAATGCTGCTTATTGCTGTACCAGAATGCACATCATCAATCCATACAACTCTGTCTGTTCTCACCCAGTCCTTCATGCATGAAGCTACTCGACTCCGTAACACTTTTTCCAATCTATACGTGACAAGGCAAGGCACAGGTTGACGTCTCTTCTGAGAGTTTTGTGAAAATGCCTGTGATTTAAGTGTAATTAATTTCGAAAATTGATGAGCTCACTCTGAAGACGTGTGAAAGTGTGAGGTGAAGACATTCGAAAGTGGAGCCCAGCAGAAGTCGATTGCGCATTTCGCGTGGCAAGGCGTCGATTCACACTGCTGTAGCATTCTTGCTGACGCTGTTTCCGGGGCAATCTCTGACGGTATTGGTGGAAAAATGTTCGGAAAATAAAGAACATTATTAGAGCAGGCTATCATCTTTACAACTATAGTCAAACGAAGGTATGAAGACCAGAAGGGTGTGGCCTTTTGTGTGGTCGCAGTCTCCTTCGTTGTATAGAAATTGTTTGACCTTGTTTTCGCAACTTGGTCACATTGGTAGGAAGACTTAGAGAAACGCACCTTGTCCGGAGTCC